GATTTTTTTTTTTTATGGAACACACTGACAACAAAAGACCCCATTTTCTACTTTTGAGCCTAAAGCTTTCTCTAAAAATTTATTTGAAGCGCTAGAATTTTTTAGTATACATGGATCCTCAGGTAACGCCTTTTAAACTGTTCCAAAAGGCCCAGCCTATAGCCGAATTAAAATTTTTTTCCCTAAGAAAATAATGGAAATCCAATTTAAAACCGTTTTTAGGCAGCCAAAAAATATTAAAAAAAAAAAAAAAATTTAAGATTAAATATAAAAAACATCCCGAAAACAATAACTAAAAAAATATAAAGCACTAAAAAATTGATAAAAAGAACATTTAACATCACACTTACCTTTTATTGACTTGCCCTTTTTGGGTTTTGGAAAAAACCCCAGGAAAGGGAAGAGGAAAAGGGAAGTTTTATTATGCTTCAAATGACGCTAAAAACCTCTTTGGCTTTTTCTATCCCAATTCACCTAATTTTTCATTTAAACAATATTAATTAAAATAGAAACATGAATAAGGAAAAATTAAAAATATGTCATAACTATGATAGAAATGGTTTAAGCGTTGTTGTTGGGGTTTTTAAGGGGCCCCTGAAGAAGCCATACATAGTGGGGGGTGGTGGAGGGGGAGGCACCAGCAAAAAAAACCAAACCCAACCCATCACACTTAAAAGTGTTTTTAATTTTTTAAATAAGAAATAATTTTCTTTTTAATTTATAAAAAGTTTATTTAGGAAAAACCCCAAATACAGTTATGTGAAAAGATTTTTCAAACATAGAAATGTGTGGGTAAAAACCCAGGATAAACCCCAAAAAAAGTCGGGAGTGAACTTGCTATTCCACTGGGGTCCTTTTTTTAAAATTTTCATTATATTTTTCTTTTCTCCTATTGTAGGTTTGGGAGGGAAGGAAACCCCCCAGGGGGGTACTACCGCCTGCCAAGTGAGTAAAAAGAAAGCCCGTAAATTTTTTTACAAGATGGTTGGATTGCTGGGGTCCAATTTTTTTCTAAAAAGCAAGATTCAGGTACGTCTTGCTACTTGTTCTTACACTTAGAAAACCTACAAATAATGTACAAGCATTAAAAGTGGAAACCCCCCCCCCTAAACGACTTTTAAATTTCCCTGCAAGAGGGGTGATTTTTTATGCGAAATGTCGGTAAAGCGAATGAATTTTCCCCATAAGAAATAATGGGAAAACAAATTAATTTTGGCCCAAAACACCCAAAAATATGAAAAAAAAATTTTTACCACATTAAATATACCCTTTTCCCCACACACAAAGAAAGGATACCCTTTCACAGAGTAAAAAGTAGTACATACCCAATATATATTGTGCCCGAAAAAAATCTACAAATGAAGAAAAATGGGCCTTACCCTTTTTTGGAAAATGCACAATATGATGAGGGCACTGTGTCCCGGGAGTGCCTTTTCCTCCCCGGGGTACTGTGGGGCCTGTTTGGTAATTCTTTAAGGAAAAAGGGCCCTTTTCACACTGTGTTTTGCCACTACGATTTTTAAAACTCTCAAACCAAACCCTTTTCTGGCTTTTAAAATTTACCCTATATAAAACAAATTTTCCCGGGATTTTTCCCTGTTTACCTGGGTTTAGTTTTGAAATGGGGTGGGTTTTTATCCCCGGGAACAAGATTTAAAGGGCCCCCAAGGAAATAAGTTTTTTTTGGGCAGTCTTCGTGACACTGGGCTTTTTTTTGGGGGTTTTCCTGGGGGCAAATCCTTGGGGGGGTTTAAATTTTTTTTGGGAATTTTAATAAAACCACAAACCAAAAAAACGGTGCTTCACAGCGCAGCCGCAGCAGCAGCCGCAGCATTGACAGTGATACGCACAGCAGAAAGAGCTAAAAGCAGCAGCAACGGTGGGTACAGCGCAGCCGACGGTGTTCCCGCAAGCTAAAAGGTGTAAAAGCAGCAGCAGACGGTGTAAGCACAGCCAGACGGTACTAAAAGCAGCGCAGGCAGCTGAACGGGGGGGTTTCAAAAAGCAGCAGCAGCAGCTGACAAAGGGGCTTTCAGAAACACAACGATGCTACAGCCCGCAGCAGACGAACTACGCAAACAGCAGAAACTGACGGTGGGACAAAAACAGCAGCACTGTACTAAAACCCAAAAATTTGCCCATGGGGTTTATTGGGGTTTTTTATACAAACCCGGCCGCTCGGAGCAAAGCACTCCAAATTTCCCTAAAATTATCAAAAATCTTTTTCTTTATCTCTATAGTAATTCTCACCCTTATTGCTCCCAGGGTTTTGGGACTAAAAAAGCTTTCGGGGGCCCCCCGGTTTACTTATTTTCCGAAAAAAACAACCCCAAAAAAAAAATGTAATAATACGAAATGTTTTCCGATTGTAGCTTGGGTGTTTTCCGCGGGGGCTGGTTGGGAAACAAAAGCCACCGGCGGCACATGTGAAAAGGGTGGCTAAGGTCCCCACATTGGACCGCGTCTCGGAAAAAGAAAGCGGGGAGCGGGTTTTTTTGGGGGGTATGGGGGAGGCAAAAATTTTTTTTTATAAAAATGAGAATATGCGGGTTGAAGGTATGCGATGCGTACGGTATGCGGGGGTCCCCTGTATATAAAAACCCCTCTGGGTTTTCTTCTGTTTTCTTTCTAGTTCTTGGGTTTTTTTTTGTTTTTCCCCTTATATTTTCCTTGGGGAAAAGGGGGGCCCGAATTCTTCCCCCCGTTTAAACCCTGTGTGTCGTAAGAGGGGATTTAAATTTCCGGGAGCAAGGGGCTAGAACCCTTCCTCCTGTATATATTACTAAACTTGGGAAAAGGGGAAAAACTTTCGTTTTTCCCCTTTTTTCCACCCCCCCTTTTGGGGGGATGAGGGTACGTTGAAAAGGAAAAAAAGATTTACTTTTAAAACTTTCACCCTTTCCTTTTGGGGAGATGTTAGTTTAAATTAAATTAAATTAGTTAAATTTGATGGGGAAAAATGTGGCAGGGTTTGGGGGGGGTGGGAAAATAGCAGGCCAGCATAAGTTCAGAAAGGGCCCCACACCCATCCAAAAAACATTTAAAATTTCTATTTTGTAGGGTTTTTCTATCGCTTACTCGCTTGGGTTATTGCACCCTTTTAAATCTTTCCCCTATCGCTGGCCCGGCACTATACCTTTATCAAACCTGACTCTTTAGTAATTTGTACAAAATTTTTTTTCAATCAATACAGAAGGCAATTCTTCCCTCTCTCTTCCTCCTCCACTTTTGGGGCTTTTTTATGAGTGTTTTCTTGAATTTTTTTGTTTTTCTTTTTTTATAAAAAGGGCCCGGCAAATTGCTTTCTTTGGGCCCATGGTGGCTTATTTAGAGTTTTTTTTTTTTTTTTTTTTTTTAAAAAAGTCGGTTTGTCTCCCAACCCGGGGAAAGGGGGCCCCAAAAAAAAAAAAGAAAAATCCCCCAAAAAAAAAATACCCCTTTTAACATCATTCAAACTTTCCCACACTCAAACATTACCACTGCTTTTGGAAAGGGGGGGTGCTAGAAAACAAAAGTTTTAGAAAAAAATATTTCGTATAAAGAAACACAAAATATCCCCCCCCCCAAAATTTCCAAAAATTTCCCCAAAACCCCCCTTTAAAGTCAGGGATTGTACCCCATTTTCCCGGTCAAGTCCGACTATATGAAAATAACCGGTTTCCCTGAATCCCTTCACTAAATATTACCCTGCTCACACTCCAACAGATCGTCAGGTCCCAAGTATCATTTGTCTCCATTCCACTCCTATCTAAACGCTCATGCACGCTTGCTGGAAGTCCAAGCCCCTCGCCACAAAACCTCCTTTACCCCCTCTTTCCAACCCTTTCGGGGGACGACCCCTACCCCTCTTTCCTTCCTATAGATTTATATGCTTTCCATGTCATTCTACTTTGATCCATTCTCTCTAAATGACCAAACCACCTCAACAACCCCTCTTCTGCCCTCTGACTAATGCTTTTATTAACTCCACATCTTCTCCTAATTTCCACACTCCGAATTTTCTGCATAATATTTACACCACACATTGCCCTTAGACAGGACATCTCCACTGCCTCCAACCGTCTCCTCGCTGCTGCATTTACCACCCAAGCTTCACATCCATATAAGAGTGTTGATACTACTATACTTTCATACATTCCCTTCTTTAGAGTTATTTTAGTTATTTTAGAGTTATTTATTTATTTAGAGTTACAAGCACTAAAAACAATGGAATAATACTAAATATATTCTTTGCATGCTTGGAAATGTCCTCCCTGGCACACTGGCTGTACACAGAGTCATGGAATGGCCGGGCCAGCTCAGGCCGCATGGACACATTCGGGATGAAAGCCCTTAGCCGAGTTATTTGGCGTTAGCCGAGCCAATATTATTTTACACCACAGCGAGCCGCTAGTCGATTTTGGTGCTAGCCGATGAAGCCTTTACCGGAGGGTCCACTGAATATGTGTCCAAAACATTGGCTCGTAAGACATACATGTACATATACGGCCGAAACAGTCAAAGGGTTAAACTAATTATACATATAATACCGAAGAGACAAAATAGCTGGAGATACAAGTAAAAAAGTAGATATGAACATAGTGGTTTATCACAAAAGGTCAGTAACAGGACATACAGCACCTGAAGTGTATACAATACACTTCAGCTGCTGTAACAATACACAAGTAAAGCCTAATAAGAGCTCAACCGTGTATTACAACAGATCAATAAAGCCACAATGTTTAACTGGCCAGCAATAAACTTGAGCCTAGTGAAAGTGAGAGATACTTATACCAAGTCTTGTGACTGAATCAAGAATACAGAATCTTATTTTTAATACTCTATTGAATCATTTGTACAATACTTATTTTAATTAATATATGAAGCCTTGGTGCTTGTTTTACTTAATTGAAATTGAAGAGAATTGACAATCAGGTGATGCAAATGCAGGGTGATGCAAGATTAAACGAGAGGTTGCATATTTCTCAACACTGACAATTCACATGTTCACTTCTACTCACAGAGAAATGAGAGTAAGACGAGACTTCGCCAGAGGAGAGATTTGTTCCATCCTTTTTAGGAAACAAATTTGTCGATACATTCTTCAGTGTATTCTGGTCATGCTCTCGTAGCACTGACCTAGTTCCTCTTGAGGGAGTCTGCAGAGGTTGATAAAAATATACATTCAAGTCAAGTGATGGACTTAAAAATATTCTAAGTAACAATAAGACAAGACAGCCACTCTCTCCTCCTAGCACTAATGTTTTCATTTTTTGTTTTTAACATTGGCTGTCTCCCATCAAGGCAGGCAAAAAAAAAAAAAAAAATCTTTTTACATTTAACCCTTTCAGGGTCGAGAGGCCCTCTCCTAAACTCGTTCTCAGGGTCGAAAATTTTTCGGAAAAAAAAATTATTTTTTCTCATGAAAAGATAGAGAATCTTTACCCGGTCATAATTACACCAAAAGTATGAAATCTGATGGAAAACTTACAGAATTATGCTCTTGTGAAGTTAGCGGCCTTGACGATGTTTACGCATCGGCGATTTTGCCCACTTTGAGCCCTATTTTTGGCCAATTCCAGTGTACTAGTCGGCAAAAATCATAACTATTTCACTAGAACTCCATTTTTTCTATCGAATGAGTACAAGAAACCACCCATTTACCGATTTCAACTATCCAATAAAGTGGTCAGAAATGAGCAATTTTGGCAATTTCACACAAATTTCAAAAGATGCCAATTTCCGAATAGGGTCCAGAATAAACAAGACAGACATTCCTGGTACTAAAATAAAATTTTCTCTGTTCATTAGTCACATCCCCAGGCCCCTCTTACATTTCTTTTGCTTTCCACTTTGAATTTTTATTCTCACAAAAAAATAGAAGACTTGATGTTATGCAGACTACTGCATTAGTGTAGAAATGGTATAAATAATATCAGAGCACTTGTGAAAGAATATTAGACTCACCAGTTGACATGTATTGGACGCATGGCATGATTTGTTTACTTCTGAACTTTGGCAAAAATCGAACATTTCTGCTACTTTGAGCTATATTACAAGGTACTTTTCATTGTAAAACCAATCAAAATTATCTCAATTTCTGTAACATGTCTTCCATTCTATAAAATGAGACCAGGAAAATTAGAATACAACCATAAATACCATACGAAAATACAGTGCAAAGTCGCTGTTTTAAACCAAACACACTCAGTTTTTTTTATTACGCACTGTGCGCTGCAGGATTTTTTTTATACTGTGCACACTGACCACATAGACCCATTCTTTCATATGTAGGCCTACCAGCTTTCTCTCGCTAGATTTGAAGGCGCTAGAATTTACGCGTACTAGTACGTCAATAACCCTAGTGCGTAAGCCATACTAGTACGTCGGAAACCCTGAAAGGGTTAATAGTCTAACCAATAAATATTTTTGCAAGCGCACGCACACGCACATGCACATGCACGAGTTTAGGTTAGTGTCAAATTTAGCTACACACATTAACGCAAGTAAGTATATAAAGGCGAGGCTACATTTTGATGCACAAACAATAAATAGGAGCTACCAAGAAACTGAGGAGGCACATTAGTAAAAAATTTAACCCCTAAACAATGGCATAACCAGAAAAAAATTAATGAGAAAATTTTGGGGAAAAAAAAAAAATTCTTTATAGAATGAAAGGGTGCATTTTTATGAATAAAATAAAACTAAAATGAGTGGAATCCAATAAAAACCCGAGACTTTCAATATTTTGTCATCAAATTCTGAATATCCAGCAAAAGAAGGGTTAAAGCAGTTTTGTATCTTCCAAACTCAGAATACGGATATGACTTTGGTATCGTCAGCACAAACGTGATAATCAGCCTCAAGGGCATCAAACAGTGAGGATTCAAGGGGACACCAGACCAGTTCCTGCAACAAATGGCAGATAAGCCAGCTGCTAGGCATCTGCTAGCAACTGGAAACAAAAGTTTATTAAGCAGGCAACTGACAAAATCTAACCATAGGTTGAGCTTTATGAGTAAAACTGCAGAAACTTTCCATAGGTACATCTTCATTACAATGGTTTCTAAGAGCATTTCCTTGTCATGAGAGCAGTGGTGGTAGTGTGTTATATTTACATTATAATAAATGTGGCACAGTGATTCCATTTACAAATGGAATCAATGTGCCTATCATTAGGCGAATGAATTATATTCACTTCCAAAGATATATACATGTATATATATTTCTTTCTGTTATTGTGCCTCAATGACATTGGAATAGTGGGGAAGAGACTATGAGCCCAAATAGTTTCTTAAACAATGATATGTGAAATCTGGATATTCCTTGATCCCATTTGTGGCAAATGGTAACAATAGGGAGCCAATAAAATCATAAAGGCCATCCTTGAAAACACCTTAAAGTTGCAATTTGAAACCAAATGCATGGAGTTTTGTTTTTTTATACTGTGCAAACTCACCGCACAGTTCCATTCTCTCATATCTCGGACAAAATTTACCGCTCACAGCTTATCTGAGCAAGCTCATGACTTAGAACTACAGGAGGGACCCTGGCCCTCCATGACTTAGTTCTACATGATGGCCACTGCAAGGGTTAAATAACTAATCCTTAAATTTAAGTAACAGAATTGCTCATCAATGCCTAATTAAACTATTTAACAGTTCTTCACAGTAATAAAATAATCAGTACTAGTAGCATGATATATGAATGGGGTAAAAGATGTATAGACTTACAACAGGAGTTGAACGTCCCAGTGATTGCTCCTCTCCAATACGTCTCAGTTTTGAAGTCCTCAGGGTATCATTGCGTGCTATTCGCCTTTTAACAGAAGGTGGTTTGGATCCTAAACGACTCTCAGAGTTCAACAGTTTAGAGCGAGCATTTTGCTGAAAAAGATGAAATGATTACTTAACTTATTTCAACCATCTACTGTATTTTCAAAATTCATCACCAATCCAGAAGAAAATCTTTACACTGAAGATGAAAGCTCACAAATACCTTTGTGTCACATTTGGTTGTTTCCGAGAGAACGAAAACTAAGTTATTAGCAGCAATATTAAACATCTGTGGAAAGGACTGAAAGAGATAATTGCTACAAGTCAGGAATTTCGTGGTTTAGAATAAGTAAGAAATGAGAATTAAATGTTTTGTGCTTGGAGGTGAGAAGAGTGTAGAGGCAAGATATTCTTTGAGATATTAAGCGAATGTTTGTGGAATTTTTAAGCACACGAGAATAATGGTTTTGAGACCTTAGTGTTCAAATGCAAGATGCTGTGAAACAGAACACTAGAACAAGTTCTGAGCCCAGGGTTAATGATCATGGATGACCTTATGCCCAAAATATGAAGCCTCTCTACTGCTCTACACAGTAACTGGGCTGATTTCATTCCTGAATACACTTGGCCGTAAGTTATCATAGCATTCATACCGAAACAAAATTAGAATTTTTGCTATTTATTCCTAAAGTAACAAGCAAACTTGGCCTAATTCATTTGCTTTACTTTGCCAAAACATTTTACAATCTGCATCTTTTTAAAAATCCTTCACATTTCATTTTCATGTATAGGAAATAAAGTATGGTTGTTTAACACATCTGAAACTTCAAGTGGTTTCTCAGAACCCTGTATGCAAAGCAAGCTGCTGTGTGTAACATGCTTCATTTGTAAATAGTGGCCCTTATGAAACCTGTAATACTTACTCTCTCTCTCTTTTCCTGCTCCTTCTGTTCATGGTACTGGTGCCACTGATCCATTATGTAATCTGAAATTGTCTTGCCCTCCACCAGGAACTGCTGGCCATCCTTTTTCTCCCTAGCAAGTACAAGATCCTCTAGCTCCTTTTCTACACGTGGCAACTCCTGCAAAAATTAATTTTTATTGCATTAGAACAAAAAAAAAAAATTCACACTGGCCGTTTCCCCACTAAGGCAGGGTAAAAAAAAATAAACTTTCACCCATCACACTATCACCATCTTGCTAGAGGCACACAGATACATAAGTTTTTAGATATCCCTCCTTTATAGTTTTATGTATAGTTCCTTTGTATAAAGGCAAAGGGGATAAAAGAGAGTGCAAAAATTATAGGGGGATAAGTCTGTTGAGTGTACCTGGTAAAGTGTATGGTTTGAGTTTTTAATTGAAAGAATTAAGAGTTTAAAACGGAGAATTTGGATAGAGAGAACAAGGAGGCTTTAGGAAAGGTAGGGGGTGTGTGGACCAGGTGTTTACAGTGAAACATATAAGTGAACAGTATTTAGATAAGGCTAAAGAGGTCTTTGTGGCATTTATGGATTTGGAAAAGGCATATGACAGGGTGGATAGGGGGGCAATGTGGCGATGTTTTCAAGTGTATGGTGTAGGAGGTAGGTTACTGAAAGCAGTGAAGAGTTTTTACGGGGGATAGTGAGCTCAAGTTTAGGGGTATGTAGGAAAGAAGGAAATTTTTTCCCCGTAAAGGTAGGCCTTAGACAAGGATGTGTGATGTCACCGTGGTTGTTTAATATATTTATAGATGGGGTTGTAAGAGAAGTAAATGCGAGGGTCTTGGCAAGAGGCGTGGAGTTAAAAGACAAAGAATACACACAAAGTGGGAGTTGTCACAGCTGCTCTTTGCTGATGACACGTGCTCTTGGGAGATTCTGAAGAGAAGTTGCAGAGATTGGTGGATGAATTTGGTAGGGTGTGCCCAAAAAAAGAAAATTAAGGTGAATACAGGAAAGAGGAAGGTTATGAGGTAACAAAAAGATTAGGTGATGAAAGATTGAATATAGATTGGAGGGAGAGAGTATGGAGGAGGTTTAATGTATTCAGATATTTGGGAGTGGACGTGTCAGCGGATGGGTCTATGAAAGATGAGGTGAATCATAGAATTGATGAGGGAAAAAAGAGTGAGTGGTGCACTTAGGAGTCTGTGGAGACAAAGAACTTTGTCCTTGGAGGCAAAGAGGGGAATGTATGAGAGTATAGTTTTACCAACGCTCTTATATGGGTGTGAAGCGTGGGTGATGAATGTTGCAGCGAGGAGAAGGCTGGAGGCAGTGGAGATGTCATGTCTGAGGGCAATGTGTGGTGTGAATATATGCAGAGAATTCGTAGTTTGGAAGTTAGGAGGAGGTGCGGGATTACCAAAACTGTTGTCCAGAGGGCTGAGGAAGGGTTGTTGAGGTGGTTCGGACATGTAGAGAGAATGGAGCGAAACAGAATGACTTCAAGAGTGTATCAGTCTGTAGTGGAAGGAAGGCGGGGTAGGGTCGGCCTAGGAAGGGTTGGAGGGAGGGGGTAAAGGAGGTTTTGTGTGCGAGGGGCTTGGACTTCCTGCAGGCATGCTGTGAGCGTGTTTGATAGGAGTGAATGGAGACAAATGGTTTTTAATACTTGACGTGCTGTTGGAGTGTGAGCAAAGTAACATTTATGAAGGGATTCAGGGAAACCGGCAGGCCGGACTTGAGTCCTGGAGATGGGAAGTACAGTGCCTGCACTCTGAAGGAGGGGTGTTAATGTTGCAGTTTAAAAACTGTAGTGTAAAGCACCCTTCTGGCAAGACAGTGATGGAGTGAATGATGGTGAAAGTTTTTCTTTTTCGGGCCACCCTGCCTTGGTGGGAATCGGCCGGTGTGATAATAATAATAATAATAAATGGTGTCTCCTGTGTAGAAACTAGATAACTACCTACTTTTAAATGCCTGATCAGCCAGGCTGCTAGCAGAAACAGTCTGGATGACCAGGCAGTCAACAAGGAAGTTTAACCTGACCTTAGGTAAAGCAAGAGCACAACTCTTGAAATTAGTAACAGGAAGGTCAAATATAGTTAAAAATTGCTCATAGGTTAAAGAATTAATATTAGGCAAGTTTGGGATAATAGCTGAACTTGCATTTTGTTAATCACTGACCATTTAGATAGGAGTACAAGAACTATGTTCAAATATTTCAGTTTTACAAGCAATGGTATAAATCCACAGTTTTTTGAGATTTGAACTGGGGTCTGTGAAATGACAGTCAACCATCCTAACCACTGATACTGGTGCTGGCACAGTGGTTATGACACTGGACTGTCACTCCACAGACCCCAATTAAATTTCTGAAAAAACCTGTGGATTGTTACAAGCATTTATGTTATCATGGCTAGTTTTTTTTTTTTTTTTTTTTTCAACAAGTCGGCCGTCTCCCACCGAGGCAGGTAAGGGTATAAAAATACTGACAATCAGCTGCACATATACATGCACAACATTCTGAATGCTTTATTTTTAGGCTTTTCACTTGGCAAGAGCTTTGTCGAGTCTGAGGTTTAAAGTTCCTGGCAAGTAATGGGTATTCAGACTGTTGGATGTGTGTATCTACCTGATTCCTAAGGTTATTGAGCATTTTTTTTAATTAAAGCTTAATTTTGGCAATCTAATTAGTTCCTAGGATGTATGTAGTAGAAGTTGTCTTTGAATTTTAATAGCAAGTTATTTCTTATTACATTTTAGAGTAAAGTACACCTACCATCCGACTTACGACAGAGTTCGGTTCTGAGAAACCGGTCGTAAGTCAAAATGGTCGTAAGTCGAACTTTACTACTGAATATCAACAAAACATTTTTGTAATGACTTCATTTTATTGTTTTATTTTGGTATTTCATGTTTTACTTTACTTTTTATGTTGTTAGTACTGTATTTTATACTGTAAGGTTTAGGATAAACACTGTACAACACAAATAGTTGTTTATTTCCCAGAAATTTGGCATAAAAAACACGGCCGTAAGTCGAGTGGTCGTAAGTCGAGCAGGTCGTAAGTCGGATGGTAGGTGTATTGCATAAAATTATTATACTAGAAAACTACTCACGTTCTTTACTCTTTTCCTTTCTTTTTCTTCCTGAAGCAAGGAGCAGCCACGATTACCAAACAGTCTATTAGGGTCATTAGCTTTTTCTTCCAGTTCTACTAATTTGTTCCATATCTGGAAATATAAAGAAAACCACTTAGCAGAATGAGTTTTGTAATTCATACTGCATGTGCCAGCATACAAGTCAACTTTTTAAGCATGAAAACATCTCTTTAAAGAACTAGTGGTCAAAATAATACACCAAGTATAAAATCTGCCAATACATGGCAGAGGTGAAAATAAGGCTATAGAACATTACTGAAAGAACACAAGCCTGAATTAACATCTCAAACTTTTAGGGGTCGACTTATACACTGGCATATACAGTATTTACAGTGGATTCCATATCTTAATAAAACAAATATATAAAAACCTATTACGTGTAAACACTAGCCATGCTTCCATATATTTTTTATTTATAAGGTGGACTGGAGGGAAAATGTGGAAGTCCATTTAAGTGGAAAAGGCCTTAACACCTGGCATGCATACATGTTACCTCACTGAGTTGAGGCAGGTAGTTTTTTGGGATTGTGTGTGCTGTTAGTGTAAGCTAGGTAATATTTATGATGGCATTTTAGAAAATAGAAAAGACACTAAAGTGTGTTATGGAATAAGTAATAGAAATGATTTTTTTAGCACCATTGTGGTAAGATTAACAAGTGGAGGAAAGTTATATCTTACTCCATCATGAGAGTGAAAACACCAATAGTACATAGATTTCTGTAAATCGAGGACCCTGTGTAATCAGCATACCTGTATAAGTACCAGGCATGAACTTGAAATGGGAAGAGCTATTATAGTGACTTGTCCACAGTCAATGCACTATGGTACTAAGGCTAATTAACCTACTTATAAGTTAACAAATCCAATAATCATCAGATTAAAACACTGTCAAAGACAATGTAATTCAACTCTGCAAAATTATAAGCTTCCTCAGAGAAATACACTGACAAGTTTTACTGTAGCGCAAAAATTTGGAGTTACACAACAATTCATGAAAGAGTAATGCCATAGGTAAACAAGCTTAACACATACCTCATGCCTTTGTTTGATTTTCATAAAGATGAGCTTGTTATCAGAGTAATAGGTCTGCAGTTTCTGTACTTCGTTGTCATGTGCTTTTAAAACTTCGTCTGTGTAACCTTCTGTGCAAAAACAAATATTAATATGGAATAAAAAATTTGCTAAAATAACCCAGATTTTCACATTAAAATCTGGTTGTTGCTTAGCTTTCACTTAAAACAAAAAGATTTCCTAGACAAATAATTTAAATTTTGACAGGCGTCAAAATTTAAATTATTCGTCTTCCTCAGTTAAACTATTTCTTCTACCATTATACAGTATGATCTTTACCAACCACACTAAAGTTCATGTGTTCCTTCCTACTTCAATTTGTAATTTAAATATCGAAAAATACAAAATATAAAAATTTTAAAACACATTGGCCCTCTCCCACCAAGGCAGGGTGACCCGGAAAAGAAACGCTTTCATCAACATTCGCACAATCACTGTCTTGCCAAAATTAAAATATGGCTCATTAAAAATGTGGGGAAGTGTCAAACCTTTATGAAGTCATGCAGAGCATGGTGAATTATAGTATTATAGCGAGATCTAAGAAAGAAGGAAAACTCAGATTCCTAGATCAAAAGAACTTCATGAAGTCATTTCCCTTGAAGGATGCAGTTCAATCAAAGCAGGTGCAATATAATTCCAAATTACATAAATTATAACCTGTATTAATAAACATATTATGACTAACAAATTCCCTTCAATCTAAAATAAATCACTAGATTTTTCAGAGGGAGGGAGAGAGTATGGAGGAGGCGAGTGTATTCAGACATTTGGGAGTGGACGTGTCAGCACATGGGTCTACAAAAGATGAGGTGAAATATAGAACTGACGTGGGGAAAAAGGCGAGTGGTGCACTGAGGAGTCTGTGGAGATAAAAACTTTATCCATGAAAGCAAAGAGGGAAATATATGAGAGTATAGTTATACCAACACTCTTGTATGAGTGTGAGGCATGGGTAAATGTTGCAACAAGAAGGTTGGAGGCAGTTATGTCATGTCTGAGGCCAATGTGTGGTGTGAATATAATGCAGAGAATCTGTAGTTTGGAAATTAGGAGGAGGTGCGGGATTACCAAAACTATTATCCAGAGGGCTGAGGAGGGTTCCTGAGATGGTTTGAACATGTAGAGAGGTTGGAACAAAATAGAATGATTTCGAGTGTATAAATCTGTAGAGGAGGAAAGGCGGGGTAGGAGTCAGCCTAGGAAAGGCTGGAGGGAGGAGGTAAAGGAGGTTTTGTGTGCGAGGGACTTGGACTTGCAGCAAGCGTGTGTGAGCATGTTAGATAGGAGTGAATGGAGACAAATGGCCTTTAAGACTTGATGTGCTGTTGGAGTGTAAACAAGGTAACATTTATGAAGGGTTTCAAGGAAACTGGCAGGCCAGACTTGATTCCTGGAGATAGAAGTACAGTGCTGGTATTCTGAAGGAAGGGTGTTAATGCTGCAGTTTTATAACTGTAGTGTAAGCATGCATTGGGCAAGACAGTGATGGAGTGAATGATGATATAAGTTGTTCTTTTTTGGGCCACCCTGCCTTGGTGGGAAATGGCCGATGTGTTAAAAAAAAAAATTCAGAGAAAAATAACTTGAGGCAGATAGCTCTAACTAATATAGTGGGTATGCACAAAAATTGTTGCCAATATAAAACACCATTATTACTCAAAGAGGCATATGGAAAATATAACAAACACGCTGCAAAAAAAGGTTTAAACAACATATCAGACAATTCTAAAGCTTCAGTAATTTCATGCACTGGTCAGGGAGGTATACCATCTTTTAGGAGTGAAGAAGAGCAGAATGTAAGTGTGGGGGAGGTACGTGAGGCATTACGTAGAATGAAAGGGGGTAAAGCAGCTGGAACTGATGGGATCATGACAGAAATGTTAAAAGCAGGGGGGGATATAGTGTTGGAGTGGTTGGTACTTTTGTTTAATAAATGTATGAAAGAGGGGAAGGTACCTAGGGATTGGCAGAGAGCATGTATAGTCCCTTTATATAAAGGGAAAGGGGACAAAAGAGACTGTAAAAATTATAGAGGAATAAGCTTACTGAGTATACCAGGAAAAGTGTACGGTAGGGTTATAATTGAAAGAACTAGAGGTAAGACAGAATGTAGGATTGCGGATGAGCAAGGAGGTTTTAGAGTGGGTAGGGGATGTGTAGATCAGGTGTTTACATTGAAGCATATATGTGAACAGTATTTAGATAAAGATAGGGAAGTTTTTATTGCATTTATGGATTTAGAAAAGGCATATGATTTGAGTGGATAGAGGAGCAATGTGGCAGATGTTGCAAGTATATGGAATAGGTGGTAAGTTATTAAATGCTGTAAAGAGTTTTTATGAGGTAGTGAGGCTCAGGTTAGGGTGTTGTAGAAAGAGAGGGAGACTACTTCCCGGTAAAAGTAGGTCTTAGACAGGGATGTGTAATGTCACCATGGTTGTTTAATATATTTTAGATGGGGTTGTAAAGGAAGTAAATGCTAGGGTTGTCTGGGAGAGGGGTGGGATTTTAAAATTTTGGGGAATCAAATTCAAAATGGGAATTGACACAGTTACTTTTTGCTGATGATACTGTGCTTATGGGAGATTCTAAAGAAAAATTGCAAAGGTTAGTGGTTGAGTTTGGGAATGTGTGTAAAGGTAAAAGTTGGAAAGTGAACTAGAAAAGAGTAAGGTGATGAGGGTGTCAAATGATTTGATAAAGAAAAATTGGATATCAAATTGGGGAGGAGGAGTATGGAAAGAAGTGAATGTTTTCAGAAACTTGGGATTTGACGTGTCGGCGGATGGATTTTATAAAGGATGAGGTTAATCATAAAATTTGAGAAAAAAAAAAAGGTGATGGTGCGTTGAGGATAGTGGAGTCAAAAACTTATCATGGAGGCAAAAAAGGGGAATTATAAAAGTAAGTGTACCAACACTTTTATATGGGTGGGGAAGCTTGGGGGGTAAAGCAGCAGCGAGGAAGGGTTGGAGGCAGGGGAGATGCCTGTTTAAGGGCAATGTGTGGTAAATTTTATGCAGAAAATTCTGGTGTGGAAATTAGGAAGGGTTTGGAGTTTAAAAGTATTAGTCAAGGAAAGGGGGGTTGTTGAGGTGGTTTGGTCTTTTAGAAGAATGGATCAAAAGTAGAATAATGGAAAGCATAAAATCTATAGGGGGAAGGAAGGGGGGTGGGGGTCGCCTCGAAAGGGTTGGAAAAGGGGGGGGGTAAAGGAGGTTTTTGTGGGTAAGGGGCTTTGGACTTCCAGCAAGCGGCGTGACGTGTTGATAGGAGGAATGGAGACGAATGGATTTGGGACCTGACATCTTTTTGGAGTGTCAGGGAAAATTTATGAAGGGATTCAGGGAAACCGTTTTTTTTCATAAGTCGGACTCGAGTCCCGGAAAAGGAAAATACAGTGGGCCCCCGCATAAATGGCATCACAAGCGATTATTTCGCATACCCTTACTTTAATTTCAAAAATTTTTGCCCCACATACCCTTAAAAAACCCCCCGCTTACCGATTTTCGTCCGAGACGCGTCCAATGTGCGGCCTGAGCCACGCTCACATGTTCCGCCGGTGGCATTGTTTACCAGCCAGCCTCCGCGGTAACATCCAAGCATACAATCGGAATATTTCGTATTATTACAGTGTTTTCGGTGCTTTTTCTGGAAAATAAGTGACCATGGGCCCCAAGAAAGCTTCTAGTGCCAACCCTACAGCAATAAGGGTGAGAATTACAATAGAGATGAAGAAAAAGATCATTGATAAGTATGAAAGTGGAGTGCATGTCTCCGAGCTGGCCAGGTTGTATAATAAACCCCAATCAACCATCGCTACTATTGGTGGTACAGCTGCTGCTGCTGCTGCTGCACTGTCAGCTGCTGCTGCTGCTGCTGCTGCTGCACTGTCAGCTGCTGCTGCTGCTGTAGCACCGTTGTTGGTGTGGCTTATTGAGAATACCAAGAAACAATTAACCCCAGAGGATTTGCCACCCAGGATAACCCAAAAAAGTCAGTGTCATCGAAGACTGTCTAACTTATTTCCATTGGGGTCCTTAATCTTGTCTCCCAGGATGCAACCCACACAAGTCGACTAACACCCAGGTGAACAGGGAAAAATGCCTGGAACTAGTGCTCATATTGGTGAATTTAAAGCCAGCAAAGGTTGGTTTGAGAGATTTAAGAATCGTAGTGGCATACACAGTGTGATAAGGCCTGTTCTGGAAGAAAATGCCAAACAGGACCTACAGTACTCAGGAGGAAAAGGCACTCCCAGGACACAGTGTCTCATCAGTCATTGCTGCATCTTCAATAAAGGTAAGTGTCATTTATTCTTCATTTAGTAGACTAGTACATGCACAATATATACTGTGCATGTACTACTCTACTATTGTGCATGTATCCTTCTCTTTGTGTGTGGGAAAATGTATATTTCATGTGGTAAAATTTTTTTTTTCATACTTTTGGGTGTCTTGCACGGATTAATTTTATTTCCATTATTTCTTATGGGGAAAATTCATTCACATAACGATTATTTCGCATAACAATTACCCCTCTTGCACGGATTAAAATCGTTAACCGGGGGTCCACTGTACAACGCCTGCACTTTAAAGGAGGGGTTTGGGATATTGACAGTTTGGAGGGATATGTTGTGTATCTTTATATGTGTATGCTTCTAGACTGTTGTATTCTGAGCACCTCTGCAAAAACAGTGATAATGTGCGAGTGTGGTGAAAGTGTTGAATGATGATGAAAGTATTTTCTTTTTGGGGATTTTCTTTCTTTTTTGGGTCACCCTGCCTCAGTGGGAGACGGCCGACTTGTTGAAAAAAAAAAAAAAAAAAAAAATATATGAAAGAAAAATAAGAATGGGAGAGGAAAAAATATGAGTCAAGAAAGGACAAAAAAGAAAAGAGAAAGGAGATACTGCATAGTGTATTTTTTCACAGATTAAAATACTATACGAAAGAAGTGAATGTTCCTAAACCTTTAAATGCATAAATAAGGTTTTATATCTTTTATATTCACATACCAGCAAAGTATGGAGTAAAGGCATTTCTTTCGTTTTCACTGATGTAGCACTTATCCCACAAAACTTCCAACTCACGCCGTAACTTATTAATGAACCTTGCCATATTTTGGTGTTTCAACTCCTCTAGACGATGCATCTCTTGCTGAAGCTGCAAGGAGGAAAAAATTACTCTTAAAGATTATAAAATAAATTACTGAAAAATAATGATCCAACAGTAAATAATTTAGTTTACAACTATAGCTCTACTACAATGGAGTGAATCTGACAAGCTACTAGTTGGGGGCATTGCCAGAAAAACTCGACTCCTGCAATCCCTTATATGCGAGGTAAAAAAGACACTTTTGCACTAATGAAGCATTTATTATGGAAGTATTCACCACAATTAGTGAGTACAAAGACTATCACAATTAAAATAACCCACATCAATTTAAAAATGCCTTCACCTGTTAATGTCCAAACTCAAAGGTCCTCAGAAGTCCCTATAGGAATGGCAGTAATTTTGAAAAATCAAGACTTCAGCAAAGGTAGAAATCAGGTTCAGTTACAAGGGGCTCCACAATTATTGCGTGCATGGATCCCTCTCCTATTAAACTTGACGAATTACGAACGAATGCATAGACTGGTGCTAGATTTGAAGGTACTATGCCATGAAGAAAGCCAAGATACATCAGGAAGAAATAGACAAGACAAGAATAAGCTTTAAAAGGAAGAACAAAGAATACGATGACATACATGGAAACTGCACAACATTATAAAGAAAGCCACCAAATTCACCATCACACATTCAACATTTTTGTAATAGCTGTGAGCAGAAATTACAATTTAAACGCTCCAAACTGCAACATCCCCACCTACCCTTCCGAGTGCAGCTCTGTAAGTAGTAAATAAGTGGAACAAATGAGGCATTAATACACTGGTGACAATACATACTGGAGTATTGAGGCAGAATTAGCAATATTGCAGAAATTGGTAACAAACTATGAGTCAAGGGTCAAATAAGTTAATTAAATGTTAGGTAAAAGGACACAAGTGCAACTAATGTGATTTTATTGTGGCAATGTTTCGCTCTCCAGGAGCTTTATCAAGCTGTAATGGCTCTCCAGGAGCTTTATCAAGCTGTAATGGCTCTCCAGGAGCTTTATCAAGCCGTAACGGCTCTATAAAGCTCCTGGAGAGCGAAACGTTGCCACAATAAAATGTCACATTAGTTGCACTTGTGTCCTTTTACCTGACATATTGTCGGTAATTCTACCAACATTTATACAAGTTTATTACAGAAAGTGACTACCTATTTGTAGCTGTAGGAGCAGAGTTAAACCCATGGTATTCTGCCTTTAGTATTTGGGCTACCGTAAAGGTCCAAGTTTTCAATGGCTATAGCACATGTATATTACCTCCTCTTCTACAACTGCAAATTAAAACTTTCTTTTATCCTTTTGATGGCTCCTTCATGTCAGTTTTTAGTTATAATCTCTTGTACTGATAGCTGATTGGGTTAGGAAAGAAAACAGAGAAATGCAAGTTTTTTTTTTTTTTTTTTTTTTTTTTAAACCATATAGTTTTTGAACTGTAGTAATGGCACACCTCCGGCAAGACAGTGATGAAATGAGTGACGAAAATGTCTCTTCTTTTTCCAGGTTACCTTGCCAATCATAAAAAAAAAAAAAAATCTCACCACGGTAGTACAGACCCAAACAAAGCATTCACTATTGGTCATTTAACCCTTAAATGGTCCAAACGTATATATACGTTTTTTCAACATCTGAAAGTATGTAAAAAAAGGTAGATCTTTCTTGTTTTACATGTGAAAACGTGTAAAAAAACTTTTATCAACATTTTTTTTTTTGTTACATTTGAAAATATGTAAAAAAAATTAAATCTACTTTTGTAACGTTACGAATTTGAACGTCGATCTGTTTGGACCGTTTAAGGGTTAATAACTACCTTGCCAGAAATGCAAAGACATCACATTGCAAAGGAGTATCTGAATGACCACATCCTCACCAATCTGACATTGTACCTTCCACCTTCTGAACAACAACCACCCCAACCATCTTTCAGAGTGCAGGCATTATACTTCCCAACAACTGACTTTAGTTATACAGGTTTTTACATTCTAAATTGCTAATTTCTGAACTTAAACCTCAAACAACTGATAAACTACATTCACTTTTTTAGCTATCTGGACTTACCTTCTTTAACACTGATGGAGTATGGCCATGTATTGTATCAAGAAAGATGTCACGCTCACTGGGATCAACCTCAAGACGGTCATAGAGAAGTCTAATGTGATTGTGAAGGTGCAGACTTTCCCTCTCATTTTCCTTTACCTAAAATAATATAACATTCAGTCAAACATTAATGAACAAGGTAAACATGACTGTTCAGCAGTGAAACATTGTTAAATATTGCTAAGCAGCAATGCATTTCAAAATTACTTACTAAACTCCTTTCACAGTACAATTTACATCATGGCAACTAATAGCAAAAAATTTTATTTGATGTATACACTCATTCTGAAATATTAAATATCAGTGTGTGACTAGTTAATGGTCCAAGGTGGACCAAAACTTGGTCATGTTTCTTTTTCCTATGTGCAGGTTATTTTTTTTTTTTCTTCAACAAGGCGGCCATCTCCCACCGAGGCAGGGTGATCCAAAAAGAAAGAAAATCCCCAAACAGAGAATACTTTCATCATCATTCAACACTTTCACCACACTCACACATAATCAGTTTTTGCAGAGGTGCTCAGAACACAACAGTTTAGAAGCATATACGTATAAAGATACGCAACATATCCCTCCAAACTGCTAACATCCCAAAACCCCTCCTTTAGAGTGCAAGCACTGTACTTCCCATTTCCAGGACTCAAGTCCGGCTATATAAAAATAACTGGTTTCCCTGAATCCCTTCACTAAATATTACCCAGCTCACACTCCAACAGATCGTCAGGTCCCAAATACCATTCGTCTCCATTCACTCCTATCGAACACGCTCATGCACGCCTGCTGGAAATCCAAGCCCCTTGCCCACAAAACCTCCCTTACCCCTTCCTTCCAACCTTTTCGAGGACGACCCCTACCCCGCCTTCCTTCTCCTACAGATTTAAATGCTCTCCATGTCATTCTACTTTGATCCATTCTCTCTAAATGACCAAACCACCTCAACAACCCCTCTTCAGCCCTCTGACTAATACTTTTATTAACTCCACACCTTCTAATTTCCACACTCCTAATTTTCTGCATAATATTTACACCACACATTGCCCTTAGACAGGACATCTCCACTGCCTCCAACCGCCTCCTCGCTGCTGCATTCACAACCCAAGCTTCACACCCATATAAGAGTGTTGGTACTACTATACTTTCATACATTCCCTTCTTTGCCTCCATAGATAAAGTTTTTTGACTCCACATATACCTCAATGCACCACTCACCTTTTTTCCCCTAATCAATTCTATGATTAACCTCATCCTTCATAAATCCATCCGCCGACACGTCAACTCCCAAGTATCTGAAAACATTCACTTCTTCCATACTCCTCTCCAATTTGATATCCAATTTTTCTATATCTAAATCATTTGATACCATCATCACCTTACTCTTCTCTATGTTCACTTTCAACTTTCTACCTTTACACACACTACCAAACTCATCCACTAACCTTTGCAATTTTTCTTTAGAATCTCCGATAAGCACAGTATCATCAGCAAAAAGTAACTGTCAATTCCCATTTTGTATTTGATTCCCCATAATTTAATCCCACCCCTCTCCCAAACACCCTAGCATTTACTTCTTTTACAACCCCATCTATAAATATATTAAACAACCATGGTGACATTACACATCCCTGTCTAAGACCTATTTTCACCGGGAAGTATTCTCCCTCTCTTCCACACACCCTAACCTGAGCCTCACTATCCTCATAAAAACTCTTTACAGCATTTAGTAACTTACCACCTATTGCATATACTTGCAACATCTGCCACATTGCTCCTCTATCCACTATTATATGCCTTTTCTAAATCCATAAATGCAATAAAAACTTCCCTACCTTTACCTAAATACTGTTCACATATGTTTCAATGTAAACACTTGATCTACACATCCCCTACCCACTCTGAAACCTCCTTGCTCATCTGCAATCCTACGTTCTGTCTTACCTCTATTTCTTTCAATTATAACCCTACCATACACTTTTCCTGGTATACTCAGTAAACTTATTCCTCTATAATATTTACGATCTCTTTTGTCCCCCTTCCCTTTATATAAAGGGACTATACATGCTCTCCGCCAATCCCTAGGTACCTTCCCCTCTTTCATACATTTATTAAACAAAAGTACCAACCACTCCAACACTATATCCCCCCCTGCTTTTAGCATTTCTGTCATGATCCCATCAGTTCCAGCTGCTTTACCCCCTTTCATTCTACGTAATGCCTCACGTACCTCCCCCACACTTGCATTCTGCTCTTCTTCACTCCTAAAAGATGGTATACCTCCCTGGCCAGTGCATGAAATTACCACCTCCCTTTCTTCCTCAACATTTAAAAGTTCCTCAAAATATTCTCGCCATCTACCTAATACCTCCCTCTCCCCATCTACTAACTCCCCTACTCTGTTTTTAACTGACAAATCCATACGTTCCCTAGGCTTTCTTGTTTAACTCACTCCAAAATTTTTTCTTATTTTCATTAAAATTTCTTGACAGTGCCTCTCCCATTCTATCATCTGCTCTCCTATTGCACTCTCTCACCACTCTCTTCACCTTTCTTTTAATCTCCATATACTCTGCTCTTCTCATAACACTTCTGCTTTGTACAAACCTCTCATAAGCTAACTTTTTCTCTTTTATCACACCCTTTACTTCATCATTCCACCAATCACTCCTCTTTCCTCCTGCACCCACCCTCCTATAACCACAAACTTCTGCCCCACATTCTAATACTGCATTTTTAAAACTATTCCAACCCTCTTCAACCCCACCACTACTCATCTTTGCACTAGCCCACCTTTCTGCCAATAGTCGCTTATATCTCACTCGAACTTCCTCCTCCCTTAGTTTATACACTTTCACTTCCCTCCTACTTGTTGCCACCTTCCTCTTGTCCCATCTACCTCTTACTCTAACTGTAGCTACAACTAAATAATGATCCGATATATCAGTTGCCCCTCTATAAACATGTACATCCAGGAGCCTACCCATCAACCTTTTATCCACCAATACATAATCAAACAAACTACTTTCATTACGTGCTACATCATACCTTGTATATTTATTTATCCTCTTTTTCATAAAATATGTATTACTTATTACCAAATCTCTTTCTACACATAGCTCAATTAAAGGCTCCCCATTTACATTTACCCCTGACACCCCAAATTTACCTACTACTCCCTCCACAACATTTTTACCCATTTTAGTATTGAAATCCCCAACCACAAGTACTCTCACACTTGGTTCAAAACTCCCCATGCATTCACTCAACATTTCCCAAAATCTCCCTCTCTCCTCTACACTTCTTTCTTCTCCAGGTGCATATACGCTTAATATAACCCACTTTTCACATCCAACCTTTATTTTACTCCACATAATCCTTGAATTAATACATTTGTAGTCCCTCTTTTCCTGCCATATCTTATCCTTCAACATTATTGCTACTACTCCTTTAGCTCTAACTATTTGAAACCCCTGATCTAATCCCATTTATTCCTCTCCACTGAAACTCTCCCACCCCCTTCAGCTTTGTTTCACTTAAAGCCAGGACATCCAGCTTCTTCTCATTCATAGCATCCACAATCATCTCTTTCTTATCATTTGCACAACATCAACGCACATTCAGACTTCCCACTTTGACAATTTTCTTATTCTTTTTAGTAATCTTTAACAGGAAAAGGGTACTCCCATTGTTCCCAGCATTTTAGATTGACTTTTACAACACTCATGGCTTACGGGGGGAAGATTCTTATTCCACTTCCTCCAGATTTTTTTTTTTTTTTTTTTTTTTTTTCACAAGTCGCCGTCTCCCACCGAGGCAGGTACCCAAAAGAAAGAAAATCCCCAAAAAGAAATACTTTCATTCATTCAACACTTTCCCACCTCGCACTATCACTTTTTTGCAGAGGTGCTCAGAATACAACATCTTAGAAGCATAAACATATAAAGATCAACACAACATATCCCTCCCAACTGACAATATCCCAAACCCCCCCTTTAAGTGCACATGGGTTACTTCCCATTTCCAGGGCTTTCAATCACAACTATAGAAAAATATATGGATATAAAAGGAAAAGTAATAAGGCCAAGAACTATCAAGATAAAATCACAGAAAACTCAGATGAGTGTGTATAAATAAACGTGTACATGTATGTGTAGTGTGACCTAAGTGTAAGTAGAAGTAGCAAGACATACCTGTAATCTTGCATATTTATTAGACAGACAAGACACCAGCAATCCTACCATCATGTAAAACAATTACAGGCTTTCGTTTTACACTCACTTGGCAGGACGGTAGTACCTCCCTGGGTGGTTGCTGTTATGTGTGTGTATTAAAAACATTCTGTTCAAACTGTTTACTTGAAATGTGTGCAAATGTACAGATACCCAATGCCCACCATCAAAACCATCAATCAAAATGCAATTATTCATACAGTAAACCCTCTTATAAAGTACTACTATGTGGCACAATTTAATAAACACGTTTGAAAAAATGCAACCAAAATTGCATAGCACATGAAAAGCGTTGACAATACTTTTTGTGTTGAAGCATCAAATTACACTTAAAATCTAGCTACTACAGTACATTAAATTTTTCCCTATCAGAATCAAGTTGGTCCCTAAATGTAGTGATCATTTTCTCATTAACTTTAACACTATAAAATCACACATTTATCAGATTTCACTCATTTTAGTCTCGCTATTTAGGAAAGCAAACTATCGATCTTTAAGAATTTTTTTTTTTTAACCTTCCCACACAAGGGAAATTTTTTTCAAGGGTCTCCTACAGTTAAAAGGTTAATCAATGCGTGTTTTCTAAACCATTTATTCACTTACACTTACTCTCTGGCATTGTTTCATGCCTTACTATGCTAACACACAATTCTGAAACTTTTTATCATCCCATTAACTAAGCTGGAATTATTTGCAATTTTTTTTTTTTTTTTTTTTTTTTTTTTTTTAACAAGTTGGCCCTCTTCCACCATGGCAGGGTGACCCAAAAAAGAAAAACACTTTCACCATCATTCACACAATCACTGTCTTTGCAGAGGCACCCAGATATGACAGTTTAGATACCACTCCAAACAGCCAATATCCCAACCCCTCCCCCAAAGTGCAGGCATTGTACTTCCCACCTCCAGGACTCAAGTCCAGCTAACCAGTTACAATGTTAAATGTCCTACATATTCATATTCATCTTGGATACTTGGCCTTTATATTACTAATAATTTGTACCATTACAATTTTATTAATAAAATTAAACATGAAAATACATCTCACCATTTGTTCATATCTTTCATTGAGTTGTTTCATCTGATGGAGGTTGCTGCGAGAGAGAGTAAACAAGTCTTCTACATCAGAAAGAACATTGAGCTCCAAGGAAGAATTAGCCTTCAACTCAAGTTCATCCAAAAGCCTCGACAAATTGGACTTAAGATGACGGAAGGTCTTCTCCCGATTTACCTGTAGTAATGAACATTGTGTAAGTACAGCACAATAAATAATTATTAAATTGAAGATGCACAAAACTATTTTATGTATGTATACAACAGGTAACTATGATAATTTTTCCCCTAACTCATTTAATACATGCACATCCATGCACATCATAAGAGAAGACAAATGCCAGGAGCAAGGGACAAGTAACCACTTCTACTGCACAAATTACTAAATGCCTCAATGGGAGACGGCAGACTTGTTGGGGAAAAAAAAACGGGGGGGTGGGACTTTGTTTCTTCTTTTTCAGGTTACTCTCTGCCTTGGCAGAATACGACCAATGTGTTAAAAAAGTGTATGTATATACAGTGCTAAAACTACCTCAAAAGCCTCTACTTACTATTGTATAGTATAATCACTACCTGAAGGTGTATAGTATATCTAATACCTGCTGAAACTTCACAAATTACCAACAAACTAGAATTATTTTTTTTATTTTTTTTATTATCACACCGGCCGATTCCCACCAAGGCAGGGTGGCCCGAAAAAGAAAAACTTTCACCATCATTCACTCCATCACTGTCTTGCCAGAAGGGTGCTTTACACTACAGTTTTTAAACTGCAACATTAACACCCCTCCTTCAGAGTGCAGGCACTGTACTTCCCATCTCCAGAACTCAAGTCCGGCCTGCCGGTTTCCCTGAATCCCTTCATAAATGTTACTTTGCTCACACTCCAACAGCACGTCAAGTATTAAAAACCATTTGTCTCCATTCACTCCTATCAAACACGCTCACGCATGCCTGCTGGAAGTCCAAGCCCCTCGCACACAAACCTCCTTTACCCCTCCCTCCAACCCTTCCTAGGCCGACCCCTACCCCGCCTTCCTTCCACTACAGACTGATACACTCTTGAAGTCATTCTGTTTCGCTCCATCTCTCTACATGTCCGAACCACCTCAACAACCCTTCCTCAGCCCTCTGGACAACAGTTTTGGTAATCCCGCACCTCCTCCTAACTTCCAAACTACGAATTCTCTGCATTATATTCACACCACACATTGCCCTCAGACATGACATCTCCACTGCCTCCAGCCTTCTCCTCGCTGCAACATTCATCACCCACGCTTCACACCCATATAAGAGCGTTGGTAAAACTATACTCTCATACATTCCCCTCTTTGCCTCCAAGGACAAAGTTCTTTGTCTCCACAGACTCCTAAGTGCACCACTCACTCTTTTTCCCTCATCAATTCTATGATTCACCTCATCTTTCATAGACCCATCCGCTGACACGTCCACTCCCAAATATCTGAATACGTTCACCTCCTCCATACTCTCTCCCTCCAATCTGATATTCAATCTTTCATCACCTAATCTTTTTGTTATCCTCATAACCTTACTCTTTCCTGTATTCACCTTTAATTTTCTTCTTTTGCACACCCTACCAAATTCATCCACCAATCTCTGCAACTTCTCTTCAGAATCTCCCAAGAGCACAGTGTCATCAGCAAAGAGCAGCTGTGACAACTCCCACTTTGTGTGTGATTCTTTATCTTTTAACTCCACGCCTCTTGCCAAGACCCTCGCATTTACTTCTCTTACAACCCCATCTATAAATATATTAAACAACCACGGTGACATCACACATCCTTGTCTAAGGCCTACTTTTACTGGGAAAAAATTTCCCTCTTTCCTACATACTCTAACTTGAGCCTCACTATCCTCGTAAAAACTCTTCACTGCTTTCAGTAACCTACCTCCTACACCATACACTTGCAACATCTGCCACATTGCCCCCCTATCCACCCTGTCATACGCCTTTTCCAAATCCATAAATGCCACAAAGACCTCTTTAGCCTTATCTAAATACTGTTCACTTATATGTTTCACTGTAAACACCTGGTCCACACACCCCCTACCTTTCCTAAAGCCTCCTTGTTCATCTGCTATCCTATTCTCCGTCTTACTCTTAATTCTTTCAATTATAACTCTACCATACACTTTACCAGGTACACTCAACAGACTTATCCCCCTATAATTTTTGCACTCTCTTTTATCCCCTTTGCCTTTATACAAAGGAACTATGCATGCTCTCTGCCAATCCCTAGGTACCTTACCCTCTTCCATACATTTATTAAACAATTGCACCAACCACTCCAAAACTATATCCCCACCTGCTTTTAACATTTCTATCTTTATCCCATCAATCCCGGCTGCCTTACCCCCTTTCATTTTACCTACTGCCTCACGAACTTCCCCCACACTCACAACTGGCTCTTCCTCACTCCTACAAGATGTTATTCCTCCTTGCCCTATACACGAAATCACAGCTTCCCTATCTTCATCAACATTTAACAATTCCTCAAAATATTCCTTCCATCTTCCCAATACTCTAACTCTCCATTTAATAACTCTCCTCTCCTATTTTTAACTGACAAATCCATTTGTTCTCTAGGCTTTCTTAACTTGTTAATCTCACTCCAAAACTTTTTCTTATTTTCAACAAAATTTGTTGATAACATCTCACCCACTCTCTCATTTGCTCTCTTTTTACATTGCTTCACCACTCTCTTAACCTCTCTCCTTTTCTCCATATACTCTTCCCTCCTTGCATCACTTCTACTTTGTAAAAACTTCTCATATGCTAACTTTTTCTCCCTTACTACTCTCTTTACATCATCATTCCACCAATCGCTCCTCTTCCCTCCTGCACCCACTTTCCTGTAACCACAAACTTCTGCTGAACACTCTAACACTACATTTTTAAACCTACCCCATACCTCTTCGACCCCATTGCCTATGCTCTCATTAGCCCATCTATCCTCCAATAGCTGTTTATATCTTACCCTAACTGCCTCCTCTTTTAGTTTATAAACCTTCACCTCTCTCTTCCCTGATGCTTCTATTCTCCTTGTATCCCATCTACCTTTTACTCTCAGTGTAGCTACAACTAGAAAATGATCTGATATATCTGTGGCCCCTCTATAAACATGTACATCCTGAAGTCTACTCAACAGTCTTTTATCTACCAATACATAATCCAACAAACTACTGTCATTTCGCCCTACATCATATCGTGTATACTTATTTATCCTCTTTTTCTTAAAATATGTATTACCTATAACTAAACCCCTTTCTATACAAAGTTCAATCAAAGGGCTCCCATTATCATTTACACCTGGCACCCCAAACTTACCTACCACACCCTCTCTAAAAGTTTTCTCTACTTTAGCATTCAAGTCCCCTACCACAATTACTCTCTCACTTGGTTCAAAGGCTCCTATACATTCACTTAACATCTCCCAAAATCTCTCTCTCTCCTCTGCATTCCTCTCTTCTCCAGGTGCATACACGCTTATTATGACCCACTTCTCGCATCCAACCTTTACTTTAATCCACATAATTCTGAATTTACACATTCATATTCTCTTTTCTCCTTCCATAACTGATCATTTAACATTACTGCTACCCCTTTCCTTTGCTCTAACTCTCTCAGATACTCAGATTTAATCCCATTTATTTCCCCCCACTGAAATCTCCCTACCCCCTTCAGCTTTGTTTCGCTTAGGGCCAGGACACCAGTACTTCCGGGGGTGGTTGCTGTCTCCCAACCTATACTAGAAATGGGATTAATTACCATCAGTCCATCATGAGTATTAGTGTCTTTTAAAGTAAAAGGAAAATTACAATGTCCTCTAATTTAAAATTTTCCCCAAATTTCCCATTTAGTTATAAATTATTCCATTCATGGGGATTCCCCCGGGTTTTTGTAAAGGGCAAACTAACCGTTTAGTTAGTTTGTGCTAATGTCCTTAAACGATTTTTAAAATTTAAATTTTGGGAAAAGAGAATTTTTCTTTAAGGATACTATTTTTAATTTTTAAAACAAAGAAAAATAATAAAAAAATTAATAAGGTTTCAAAAATTTGGGCTCAGCTATTTTTTTTTTTTTTTTTTTTTTTTTTTTTTAAAGATTTAAAATCATTTAAACCTTTTGTTATTAAATGTTGAACAAAAAAAAAAATATTAATCTGTTATTAAAAACTCCCAAAATTTGCTGCTGCTGTTTTAAAACCACCCATTTTGTGCTATATTATAAAAATAAAATCTTTTGTACTAAAAATAATAAAAACCCCATTAGTACAGTGCAAAATTAAAACCCATAATGTAACCCGGTCACGGCGAGATTAAATTTCAAAAAACACTTGGCAAACCAAGGTAGCTCAGTTCCTCAGGTAGGCCTGACACTGATGTGTGTCCCTTAACCTTTGAAGCATTAAGGAAATATATTTGAGATGTATTTATGTATGATCCCAAATTACCAAAAGAAACTTTGGATAGGATGGGACTAAACTAAATTCCAGGAAACCAAAGCAAGCATGCTTTCTAAATTTTTTTTCATCTTCTTCTTTCATGGGATATTTGAAGAATTCTTTCCCAGCGAGTGTGTGTGCACACGAGTTGACTAAAATGCCAGGAGAAAGGGGGCTGTAACCCTTCTCCTGTATAAATTATAAATTTAAAAATAAAAGTTTTTTTTTTTTTGGGTCCCCCTGCTTTTGGGGAAAGAGGGCCCGTTAAAAACAAATCTAGATTCTTAAGAATTGCCCCAGTTTTCAAAATGACCTGATTACTATGTTGTGACTTTAAAAAAAAATTAGCAAAAATACAAATATTCGTGATCAGTTTCATTTTAAACCCCAAATTTTAAAAAAAGGAAAAAGCAAAATTTTTTTCCTTTTTCCCGAGTGCGAATTTTTTTCCCGTCCCCCAAATCTTCTTTGGACGGTATTTGGTTTCTTTGGGAATGGGTCGGCTTTAACGAGACGTTCCAAAGCCCTATTAAAACAAAAAAAAGAAAAATTAGATTTATCTAGCCCAATGACACTTTTTTTTTTAATAATAGTAACAGGGCCTTAACGGAGTGTGTAATTCCCCATGGTTGTTGTTCGGCCCCCCGCCAAATTTTTGGTAATAGTTAACCTCCCGGCCCGGGAGTACCATGGGTGCGTCATCAAAAACCCA